CTAATATATTTTCATAATATTTACAAGCATCCGCAAGTCGATTAGAGGTAAGTTCTATAGAAGAAAAGGATGTTAATAATTTTTTTTCTAAATTAAAATAAATTATTAATGTCTTATTTCTTATCTTTTTATAAATTTCAGAAACCTTTGGATTGATCGAAATAAATTTTATGAAGAAAAAAGAATGTTAGTAAATTTTTTTTTAAAATTAAATATAAACTATTAATATTTCTTATTTTTATCTTTTATAGATACTAGAACCCTCATCAAGTCTTGGATCAATCAGAGTTCTATGAAATGGAAGAGATATTAATTAATTTTTGTAATTAAAAAAATATACCATTTCGTGCATTTTTATAAATATTGAAAAATTTCATCAAGCCTTGGATCGATTGGAGTCCTACGCTATGATATTAATTATATTTTTTTTAATTAATAAGATAATAATATTTCTTACTTAAGGTATTCATTATCTGCTTTAATTTCATGCTTACATAAATACACACCTTCTGAAAATTCCATTTCGATCATCATGGGATTTATGTCAAGACAACATTTAAAGCAGAAAATACTTTACTGAGTTAATCCATACGTGGCTGCTAAATTATCCGTAGTATAGCATTATTTCTTGAACTTCACGTAAATACTATATGTGAAGGGGACGTTGATTCAGATTTGATTCTTTCAGGAATCTTTTCATAATGCGATCAGGAAATCCTCATCAAGCCTTGGATCAATTAGAGGTAAGTCCTATAAAGAAAAAGAGATTATTAATAATTGGTTATTAATTAAAAAGAAAGATGACATTAATGAATTTTTTAATTAAATAAATAAACATTTTTTACCTTTTATAGATTCCAGTAGATCTTGAATCGATCGATCTGTCAGTCTTATAGAGGAAAAAAGGGAATAAGTTTCAATAAGTTTCAGTAATAATCATTCAAAAAAAAAAAATGAACTTACCTTTGTTTATTAAGGTGCTATTTTGAGATAAACAATATTTTTTAAAAAAAATTTTTTTTAATAATAGTTTTAGAACATTACTAACGGTCCTTATTTCTTTATTTTTAGGGAAGCTTCTTGGACAACTCTGGACAGTTTTTGGATAATTCGTGAACAATTTTTATTAGGTGAATCTTGAACCAGTAAGTTTCTTTGAATGAGTAGGTGATGTTAATGACGTTAATAAACAACTCTAATGTCTTCTTTTATTTAGATCCTTTGGACACTCTTGGACATTCTTGGATGATTCTTCTTGGACTTAACGGTTAATAAGTAATGTTAAAGGTTCTGATAGCATTAGGAAATTATACTAATACCTTCTTTTTTTAGGTTGTTCGTTGGAATTAAACCAACTAGGACTATGCCCAAACTATTAATAACAAATAGTGAGCTTGTTTGAAAAATGTAAGGTTTGTTAGGAAAAAATAGGTTATAATTTTTGTAAGAGATGTTGGAGTTACAAACTTTAAAGGCACGGTAGCAGCCGCGTTAGCACATGATGTAGAATATCGAGTCTACGAAATAATACAGGTGGTTTGCATTTTTCAAATCGCCAAGTGTTCCGCAAAAAATTATAAACTTAAACTATTACAGAAATATGCTTCAAACAAGAAGCGAATAAATTGATGCATCATTCAAAATGAACCAGACTTATAGGGGAAAATATCAATAATGCTTTACGTATTCGTAACATAAATGTAAGTGTTGTTATTGTTATTTTTATTTTGACTATTTAAAAACCATTTACTTACATTACAATTTTTATTAATAGCCATTACACGGTTTTTATCTGAATGACAATTCAAAATTCCAACGTATCACAACTAATCAATTTTATGTTGAAGATGATGAATGGGAATTTGAAAATATTATTAGTTCAGCAATACCCAGTGTTCCTACCGATGCGAAAAACCTTATCAATTAGATCAAAGATAAGTTATATAAATGGAAAAGAGATTGTTGAACTCTTTTTTTGAATTAAGCAAATTATTAACATTTTCTACCCTTTCTTGTCTTTAGATTTTCTGGAAGTAATTTTTTTTGGATAATCATTATCCTTTTTATATGTAATGCTTTATAGTATCCCTGATTTTTGATAATTATATTTATTTATTCTTAATAGAATATTTCTTTTTATAATTTCTTAAGATTCCATGTTTCAAAGTGTAAATAACTTCCAGATGCAATTTTGAAGACACTTTAACAATGATTTAATAAAATTTTATATTTAATATATCAAAAATGATATTTATTGGATTTAATAATTACATAAATAATTGTCCAAAACTTGTCCAATTAAATAAGTTTTGGTTTTAGACATATTTTGAACACAGTTTTGGACAATTGTTCAAAATATCAAATTGTCCAATTTCTCATCACTGAATTAGATTACCAGTTCATAGCAAGAACATAAAGAAATCCTAAATGTTGCTGAAGAATTTTACTCATTTATCAGATCTGCATTTAACAAAGATAAATCCAAACTACTTATAATATTACAATTACTAACGTCTTATATCAACCTAAAATTTGACTCATCAACAATAGACATCATTCCTGAAAAAGTTCAATTAGGTTTTAGGTGTTTAGATTAATACCAAACAATCACCAACCTTCATTAAAAATCAAGTCAAACAAGATATTTGTTGCTTTGTTAATTTGATAATACTAATTGAATAATAATAATTGGTGACTAATCAAGTCAAATCTAGGTTGCCAGATTTGACCTAATTGGTTTTCTATTTTTTTGTTTTTTTAGAATCAAGTAATCCCGATTGATGATGAATAATGACGCAGATAGATATAATAATGTTTCAATCAGGGTATTATAAAGATATCAATAGGGTTATTCTTATTGATATCAATTTATTAATATCTAATTTCCAATCAAATTATCCCTAAGTCATCAATGGGGATATTCTTATTATTACTTATTATACAAATAGTATATCCTGATTGGTAACATTTTATCAAATTTTTATAATACAGAAATTTTATAATTGTTTATTTTATACAAGTAAGTAATCCTGATTAATTACAATAAAAAGAATTTTATTATTAATATAATTTACATTAATATATTATATTTAATTATAAGAAAGTACATTTTATTAATAATAAAGCTTCTAATTGTTACAAATTTATTAAATTTAATTATTTAATATATATGATAAGAAAAAAAGTCAACTTCTATTAAAAAAAGAAAAAAAAATTAGTAAAAACCTGAAAAAACATCATCAAAAAAGTCCTGATATGTAGACTTACCTTAACTAATAAACAAAAAAATTTACCTCTATTAAAAAAAAAGAAAAAATTAGTAAAAATCTGAAAAACCACCAGTCTGATTTGTAGACTTGCCTTAATCAATAGCAAGAAAAATCAATTTTTATTAAAAAAGAAAAAAATTAGTAAAATCTGAAAAAACAACTATTCTGATTTGTAAACTTATCTTAACCAATAGCAAAAAGTCTACTTCTATTAAAAAAGAAAAAAATTAGTAAAAATTCCTAAAACCATCATCCCAATTTGCAGACTTACCTATACCAATAGCAAAAAAAGTTAACTTTTATTAAAAAAGAAAAAAAAACTAGTAAAAATCTAAAAACAATCATTCTGATTTGTAGACTTATTTTAACCAATAGAAAAAAAAAATTATACTTTTATTAAAAAAAGAAAAAAATTAGTAAAAATCTGAAAAATCATCATTCCTATTTGTAACATACCTTAGTTCAGTGATGGGTTTTAAACACGTTTTTTAGTTTTGAATAAGATTTTAAACATATAAAATTGTGTCTAAAACCTGTCCAAAACTACCTAAAATTGTCCAATTTCCCAACATTGCCTTAGTCAATAGTAAGATAAGTCCATTCCTAATAAAAAGAAGAAAATAATTAGTAAAAATCTGAAAAAACAACCATCTCGATTTGTAAACTTATCTTAACCAATAGCAAAAAAGTCTACTTCTATTAAAAAAAAGAAAAAAAAAATAGTAAAAATCCAAAAAACAATCATTCTGATTTGTAGACTCATCTTAACCAATAGCAAAATAGTCAAAAAAGAAAAAAAATTAATAAAAATCCAAAAAATAACTATTCTGATTTGTAAACTTACATTAAATAAGTCTACTTCTATTAAAACAAGAAAAAAACTAGTAAAAATCTGAAAAACAATCATCCTAATTTGTAGACTTACCTTAATCAATAGCAAAAAAATCTATTCCTATTAAAAAAAAAGCAAAAATTCAAAAAACTACCACCAAAAGAGTCCTGAAAACCACTTATCTTATCTAAAAAAAAAAACATTTGTTACTATAAAAATAAAGAAGAAAAAATAAGTAAAAAAACCATTATCTAAAAGAAAGAGAGGAATATTCTGATTTATTAAAAAAAGGTTAAATATATATAATCTACTATGACACTTGATTTTCATAATAAGCGAATCATATAGGAGATTTATTAGAAAAATGGGGTTCTGAGCATTTTTTATTAAAATTTTAATTTTTATTGCATTTTAATCTAATATTATCAAAAATTAAAATGCAATAATAATTAAAATTTTAATAAAAAATGCTTAAAGTCCTATTTTCTTAGCAAATCTCCTATATATAAAAAGTTAATAGAAGATAAAAATTATATTCAAATATGATAGTTCGTATTCAAAATGAAGATATTTGTCATTGATTAATAAAATACACATTTGAATGCAAAATTTGTCTTCATTAAACAATATTTCATCTTCAAACTGATGAAAATCGTATTTGAATGCGAAATTCGTCTTTAATAGTTGAAATTTACCTTCGAATTGATGAATTTTGTAAAAGTAATGAATTGTTATACAAAATTCGTAAAGAATAACTTAATGAATTTCATAACAAATCATTAGATTTATTTGTTAACCATTTGTAATAAAATTGTTTAAGTAAATCATTAAAAAATTTTGTTAAACAAATCGTTAATGAATTTCATTTAACGATTCTTTAACAAAATTTATTATAATAAATCATAACACATTTTGTTAAGTAAAATCATTAACAAATTTTATTAAAGAATTATTAACCGATTCGTAATAAAATTTCGTTAAGTAAATCATTTAATGAATTTTGTTAAACGAATTGTTAATGATTCTTTAACAAAATTTGTTTTAACAAATCATAATGAATTTTATTAACCAATTCGTAATGTAATTTTATTTAATGATTCTTTAACAAATTTTGTTAACCGATTCGTAATAAATTTCGTTTAACAATTCTTTAATGAAATTCATTTAAATGAATTTAGTTAATCAATTCGTAATGAAACTTCATTTTGTGAATCGTTAACAAATTTTGTTTAACAAATCATTTAAACAAATTTCGTTAAATGAATCATACGAAAAGTTATAATGATTTGTTATAACAAAATTCATTTTAACGAATCTTAACAATATTAGTTGAATGATGATAAATAGGGGACTAATCGAGTCAAATCTGGGTTACCAGATTTGACTTGATTGGTCTCCTATTTTTTGTTTTTTTAAAATCAGGTGATTCCGATTGATGATAAATAATGATGCAGATAGGATACAATAAGGTTCCAATCAGGGTGTTATAAAGATATCAATAGGTTATTCTTATTGATATCAATTTATTAACATTCAGTTTCCAATCGAGTTATCCCTAAGTCATCAATAGGGATATTTTTATTGGTTTTTTTTATTATTATACAAATAGCGTATCCCAATTGGTAACATTTTATCAAATTTATTTAATACTCGTAATAATATTT